TTTATATTTTAACTATAGTATTTAAATAAATTGTGTTTTACTTAACGTCGAGTAGTTTGACCAGTTATATCGCATCTGGAACACAGCACTTCACATCCACCTTTAAAATAAGAAAAAGTCAGGGTCCAGGCTATCTTCTTATAATATTTTGAAGGGATCTGGTCTGGTCCATAGCATTAACTCCCGTGGCATTACATGAGCAACTGCTTACCAACGTAAAAACGACCCACCTATTTCTGCTGTCTGCCTCCTATTAGCTAACCTATCAATGCTTTAATCATATAGATGTGTTAGCCCTAATACAGCATGCATCCTTCTCTTGTGTAGTAATATTTGATGTATCAAATATACTTTAGAAATCCAACCACACCACATCTACACTTTCACAAAAGCTGAGTACTGATGATGCTGAAGGACTGAAATAAAAACAGAAAATATTGGAAAAACTCAGAAGGTTTGGCAGCACCTGAGGAAAGAGAAACAGAATTTAAAAAACAGCATTTGAGTCCAATATAACCTCTTCATTAACAGGCTTTCCCTTTATTCACCTTGCATGTTACTTCCTCAACAAACTTGATTAAACATGACTTCTCTTCCACAAAACCATATTGGCTGTGACTGATGCACTGAGATTTTTGAAGTATCTATCATAATCTTCTTAATAATGAATTCTAGCAATTTCCAATATCAGATGTTAGACTAACTGGCCTATGGTTCCTGCTTTCTATCTCCGTCCTTTCTTGAATAAAAATGGCATTTTACCTAATTTCCAAACTGTTAGGGATTAAAGGAAAATGGTTAATTCATTCATGGGATGTTGGTATGGCTGGCTAGGCCAGTATGTATTGTCCATTGCTAATTGTCCAGAGAGCAGTTAAGAGTTAACCACATTGCTGCGGGTCTGTAGTCACATGTAGGCCAGACTGGGTAAGGATGGCAGATTTCCCTCACGAAAGGGCATTAGTGAACCAGATTTTTTAATGAAGATCAACAGTGGTTATGTGGTTGCCATTAAGTCAGCTTTTTGTATTGAATTAAAATTTCACTACATCCCAAGTGGTGTTTTAAACCCATGTTCCCAGAACATTAGCCTCACACTCTGGATTACTCATCTAGCTGCATTACCGCTACATCTATACCTTCACTTGGGAGAGTGCAATTCTGGCTACTTTTGCTGCACCCACTTGTTTTAAGATCCTCGGATGCAGGCCATCAGTTCCTGGACACTTGCCAGCATTGACATTTTCTCTGCATTCTTCCTGGGGTTGGTTAGATCAATTGGCTGGACAGCTGGCATGTGCTTTCAGGTGATGCTAACAGCATGGGTTGAATTCCTGCACTGGCTGAGGTTTCAATGAAGGACTCTCCTTCCCAACCTTTCTCCTTGCCTGCGGTGGGGGTGACCCTCAGGTTGAGCCACCATTTGTTATGTGTGTCTCTGTCTCTGTGATGTGACAGTGGGACCGTGGTGACTTTTATCCATTTTTAGTGCTGGTGATATTTTGAGTTCTTAACTCCTGTTTATCTGTTGATTTTTATGTATCTTTGGGAAATTTTCTTAATCTTACGCAACTCTTCTTCAACATGGGATCTTTTACATCGAGCCAAGTGGGAAGACTGGGCTCCTGACGTGGAGGTGCCGCTTTTGGACTGGAGTGGATGAAGTCAGAAGTACATGACACCAGCTTATAGTCCAAATAACCTGGCGTTGAGTGGCTTCTGACTTTGGGCTCCTGAAATAGTGAGTACCACTCGACACTGAAGTATCATCATTGGTAAAGTGCTCAAATCTGAGCAGTCTTGATCTCACATTTCCTTTACTGTAAGGGATGTTTTCACACCTCACTTTTTACATAATATTGTTTTTCATTCACTCATGGGATGTGGGTGCCACTGACTGAGCCAGCATTTATTGTCTATCCCTGGTTACCCTTGAGAAGGTGGTGGTGAGCTGCTATCTTGAAACGCTGCAGTCGACGTGTTGATCCACAATGCCCTTAGGGAGGGAATTCCAACAGTTTGACCCAGCAACAGTGAAGGAACAGCAAAATGTTTCCTGGTCAGGATGGTGGGTGGCTGGGAGAGGAACTTGCAGGTGGTAGTGCTGGTATCTGCTACACTTGTCTTTCGAGATTGAAGTGGTCGTCGGTTTGGAAGGTGCTGTCTCAGAATCTTTGGTGAATTTCTAGAGGGTGTCTTGAAGAGGGTGCACAATGTTGCTCTTGGTGTTGGTGATGGAAGGAGTGAACATTTGTGAACGTGGTACCAATCAAGCGGGCAAGCTTCTTGAGTGTTGTTGGGGCTACATTCATCCAGCCAGGTGTGGGGTATTCCATCATACTCCTGACACTGTTTTGTGGTTGGTGCACAGGCTTTGGCGAGTTAGGAGGTGAGTTACTGGCTGCAGTATAAGAAGGTTTAAGAGAAAGACTAGCTGGGGGTTGAATAATCTTGCACCATGGTGTCACATTGACATGCACTTCAGAGGCGTGGCTTGATATTATGATTGTAAAATAAACGAAAAATGTGCAAAACACTCAAGTACAAAGTGTTGAAGAGTTCGACAATAATAGGGAAAACGTGTGTGTCAGTTTAAACAGGATTCTCGATGAAAAGCATACAGGATCTCAGAGCAGTTCTCCTTACTGAATCTGAAATGTCGACAAGTTATAGCTGAGATTTATGAAATTCAGAGTCTTATTCCCGCCCCCTCTAAAGCTTTGTTGCTTTAAAAATGCTGGATCCGCTCCAGCCTTGATTCCCTCCACATTGTGGTCCAGATCGAAAAGCCTTTGATCTCCCTGTGTGTCTTCACTTCGCGTCTTTCTGCCTTCCCCTTACCCGGAAGTGAACCGGTACAGCCTCAGCTGGCACACGTGGAAATGACTGCGTTTCGGTTCGGCATTTTTCCAAATGTAGGCAAGGGGTTTGGGGGGGGAGGACAGAGAGAAGAAAGCGGCCGTCGAAAGATCAAAGGCACGGCCAGCTCCACCTCCTTTGCTTAAAAAGATCAGCCCAGTCTTTCACCCACTTCTCACGCAATGTGCAGCTCAGAAATCTGTGCAGCAGCAAGGAAAGGGAGTACTTATTTACACAGACCCAAACCCTGCTTCCCTCTCTCTCTCTGTGTGACATTATCAACAATGAGAAGAATCGTAGTTTTAATTTATCTTCCCCCCCCCCCCGCCTTCCACCACCTTTTATTACGCCCACTCTCCCAAAAAGGTATTTATGGGGAATTTTCCTTTCGGCAAGATGAAAGGGACCTTAGCAAAGGAAGTTTCCCACACCGAACTGAAAAGTTGTTTTTAAATCTCTCTCTCTCTCACTTGCTGGGGATTTGTCCCTGATGTTCGATGCTCCCTTAGTGCGCTCTGATGTCGGTCAGATCAAAGACTGTGCGCACTGCCTTTAAACCCAATTCCCTCTCCCTGATTCTGTCTATCCTGGTTTAAACCCTATTCCTGTACTTAGACCGTACCATAAGGGTGGGATTGGGACTTAGACTCACACAGCTCGTTTGATATCTTTTTTCTTAATTCTGCTTCACGATCGCCGTAGTTTAAATCGACACATAAAACGCCGGAGAGGGGCAGGAGAATGTCCTGTCAGTTATTGTTGATGCTGTGCGTCTCTGTGTTTTAAGTCTGACGGAGTCTCTGTCGGTCAGATCAGAGTGTTTGAGAGCCTCTACCCCTTGCACTCCGCTCACCTTCTTTGCCTCAATCCCACACACTCGATGTAACAGGTTGGCCGTCCCGAGTGTTGCGTTGGAGTAGCAACTTCCTGAGCTGATGGGGTTTGGCATTGATCAGAATCCCCTCTTCCCTTCCGCCACCCCCCCCCCCCACTTTCTTCAATAAAGCGCCAAACTATCACAGAAAAGGGTTGAACTGTTGAAATTCTAAGTAGAAATACCCCCAACTTCTTCCTAAATAGTCTCACACCGCAAGAGGACAGCAGTAGTTTGTAATTAAGCTTGTTGTTGTTTCAAAAATCGTATTTTCAGAGGCTCAGTTGTAGAAAACGTGACACACAGACGAAATGACGGAATCTATCAATGGCAATCGCGGCTCTCCGGCCCATCGTGCCTGTACTGGCTCTTTGAAAGTCATATTGCCCTGCACGTTAGACATATCCTTTCAAGTACACATCGCCTGTCTATTTTATCTGATGCGATGAAAGTGCATTTAACTAGGCATTCCATCGATAGGTTTGGATCTCTCGTGTAACCTTGAATGTGATGTGAATTAAGAAGGGCGAAGCATTCTTTCGGGAAACTGGACACCACAATTTTTTTGTGAAATAAAGAAACGATAGCATTTCCTCGTTTATTATTAAGCATGACATATTCAGGACGTCCTGAGAATGTTTACTTCCCATGTTGTGCCTGTCGTTTTCTTTATCTCGGATAGAAGTTGAAGAATTTCAAACATATTTATTTACACGGGGTTCAGGACAGCTGAGGCTTAGAATAAAATCGAGTATAAATAATAAACAGAGAGAGGTGTTGCACTTTTGTAGTCGGGACTGTTTAAATGTTGCTTTGAAATATTTCCCCGGCCTTAACATAACATTATTTTCCTGTCCGTATGTGTGTTGAAAACAGAATTTTTTTTTGCAAGGAGGCTGAAAGGCAATACTGTAGAGAACCCCCAACTGTACCTGCACTTGGTTGGACGTTATGTTTTGATCGAATGGGCAAGCGTCGTGGGGCGTTTATTCCAGGTCTTTTGTCAATTTTAAAACTGGAGGGAATTGGGGAGAGGGGGGCGAGGTGGGAAAGGGTTAAATCAGTTTGCTGATTTTAAAAAAAAATCCCTGGTGTACTTCTGGCAGTTTGATCTGCGTGGTTTTTCTTAAATCCGAAGATACATACGACTGGGTTAACTGACCCTGCGTAACTGCACGAACAGAAAGTGGGGGGTTTAAATTATTTTTGTGCATTGATTGGGTGGAGGGAGGATGGGAGAGTGCAGTTCTTGCTGTGTTCAAAATCCCTCTTCGGTCTTCGCCTGCAGAGGTTGCTCTGCATCTCATTAGGAGTTGCAAAAGGACATTTGTAAAGCTCTCCCTGTCGATCAGAGCTGTCAATCACTTCGGCGGCAAGGCTTTGATCTCTCCTAGTCTCCCTCCTTCCAGCCTGCTTTTTTTCTCTCTCTCTCTTTCCTCAGCTGCATTACTCTCTGCCGTCTCCAACTAGTCTTCATGGGCTCGCTTTAACTAGCTTCAGTCCCGAAAAAGCAGAAAGTAGGCGAGCAAACAGTTTGCTTTGAAACAGGCAGAGACCTCTTTCTGAAAAGTAACAATTTACTGTAACAGCAAAAAAAAAGGACTGGCTTTTTTTAAAGAAAAATTATCAGTTCCCCCCTTCAAGATTCTAGATCTTTGCCCCCCCCCCCATACACTGAAAAAGGAAAGGGGGAGGCATTATTAGATTCCGCTGAAACTTCAGATTTGCAGGGATGCCGCAGCTCAACAGCGGTGGCGACCCGGAGCTCGGAGCCAACGACGAGATGATTTCGTTCAAGGACGAAGGGGAGCAGGATGATAAAATCCTGGCGGAGATCAGCGCCACCGAGGAGAGGGATCTAGCCGACCTGAAGTCCTCACTGGTGAACGAGTCGGAGACTAACGCGGGCAGCGACAACAGCAGCAGCAATAGCGGCGGTAATAACCCGGCCGAACAGGAGGTAAACTTACACTGTTATCACACACACACACTCACAGTAATGTGTAACACACACACACTCACAGTAATGTGTAACACACACAGTAATGTGTAACACACACACTCACAGTAATGTGTAACACACACTCACGGTAATGTGTAACACACACACACACAGTAATGTGTAACACTCACACACACACAGTAATGTGTAACACACACACACTCACAGTAATGTGTAACACACACTCACAGTAATGTGTAACACACACACACACACAGTAATGTGTAACACACACAGTAATGTGTAACACACACGATGTGTAACACACACAGTAATGTGTAACACACACAGAGTAACGCACACACAGAGTAATGTGTAACACACAGTAATGTGTAACACACACACAGTGTAACACGCACACACAGAGTAATGTGTAACACACACACACAGTAATGTGTAACACACACACAATGTGTAACACACACATACATAGTAATGTGTAACACACAGTAATGTGTAACACACACACACTCACACAGTAATGTGTAACACATACACACACTCACACAGTAATGTGTAACACACACACATACAGCCGAGACACATACACACAACAGAGACACAAATATACACACACAGACACAGACAGAGATATACACACACAGCCAAGACAGCACTCACACAGACACACCCACATGCACACACAGACAGACATAGAGACACAGACACACCCACACACACACAGACAGACATAGAGACACACACACCCACAGAGCGAAACTGCGGACAGCCATCCCCTCTCCCTCCCCTTTTGCCCTCTCCCTCCCCTTTTGTTACACTTTGTGTATTTATAAAAATATACACACATATCCAAAAACTACTTGTCACTTACTTTCTAGGTAGGCAGACGGCCACAAGTTAGCGAGGAGCCCTTTCGGGACAAAGTGAGAACCAGCATCGAGGAGGGTGAGCAAAAGATTTTTCGTCTCTTCCGAGTCAACTTTTGCATTTCATTGATTCATGTGTGTGTGTAATTTCTGGTGTCATCCATTCTTAACCACCATCCCCTTCCCACAACTTCATCCCATCTCTCTGGGTCCTGTCTTGCCCCCACACCCCCTCCCCATAACACCATCCCCTTTCCTCATTTTCTTTTTCTTTCCCCCCTCCCCTTCAGTAGGGAAGAGACAGGATGCAGTGATCTTCAAGGGTCCGGCTTACTGCCCCTACCAACCAGGCTATGTCATGGTGCCTAACATGAACAACGACCCTTACCTGAACAACGGTTCCCTCTCACCTCCTGCCCCCAGAACGGTGAGTCACAAGGCTGCTTTAGTACTTGCATGTTGTTAAGTGATTATTTACAGGAATAAGTAAACACAGCCAGATATAAGTAAACACCAATGTACTAAATCCCTTCCTTCCCCTTAACTCCAATCTCCACTATAGCCCAGGTATTGCACAGGTATGATTCCAAGGGGTGTTTATTCTGGGACATTAAATCAACCCCTATTACTCCCTTCATTAAGATCTCCCTTAGTTAAGCATCATGTTGCCTCAGCTTTAAGAAACTACCAGACTTCAGTGGATACTTTTATTTTGGTTAAAGTTATTTACCAATGACTAAAAAAAACTATCTGTAATTCAGGGGAGAACATGACTTTTTTTTGGCATTGTTTGACCTTTCTTGTACCTCGGATTGTTTTGACTAGAAGCAGCTCCAGAAGCTTGTCTCTGCAGCAGATCAGAGATTTTTTTTCTCCCTTGAAGCTAACCCGCCTCAGAGTACGCATACAAACACAAGGCAGTTTGAAACCGCTAAGTTTAAATAGGCCAGAAAATGTGCACAACAGCAGGGTCCTGCTTTTAAAAAAAATGTTACTGAGAAGGTGCAGAATGGGGGCAGTTGTTTACTGTCTCTGTCTCTTCACCATCCCCCAGGGTGAGAAGGGGATCGTGGTTTGAGGGGGAGGGGCTGTTAGAGAAGTCTGTTGATTTAGGAGAACTGAGTCTCTGCTGTTTGTCATTGGGATCGTGCATGCTGATTGTCAGACTGTAGTTTGTGTGTGCCAGAAGGAATCATACACTTAAAAGTAGCAAAAGAAAAAAAGACCTGGAAATGTCTGTGGATTTAAGATTGTGTAATGAAATCAAGGGAGCTTACAAGAGTATTCTTTATAATAGAGTATTTGACTTCAGTGCTATATGAACACAAGTCTGGCAGTTGGTTACCTACATTGAGATACTGACTGAAAAGCCACAAATTCCAAAGCAAATTGGCTGCAAGGTTCGATCCCAGAGTCAATGTGGGTTGAACTCTCACTGCAGGTGCAATGCGTGATATGATGTTTAAACCTTGGAAAAAAAAATGATATTTTGGCTGTGGTTTATACCACAGTTGTGAAGGGATCTGTCTGAAACGCAAGTGTGGGCCTACAGGTTTTCTTGATGCCTGTCTTTGACATGTGTACAGTTAGGTGTTGAGGTCTTAATATAGCATTAACTTAATCATCCTTAATTCTGTTCTCCTTCAAACCGGATGGTTTCTAATTTTGAAGCCAGTCTATTTTCCAAGGGGTTTTCTGATTCTGCCCAGAGTGGTTTCTCAGCCCAGTGTCGGTTTTCACTTTGCTACCAACAAACCATGATATTGTCAGCTGGTGAGTCCTATGTCGGTCAGCTTTCCCACAGTGCACTGAGGTCTGTTTCACTAAGAGCACTTTCAGCTGTGGGACAATTGCATGTTTGTGATAGAGAGAAAAGCTACCAAGCAGCTCTGACTGTCAGGAAAGACAGCACAAGTGGAGACACTTCTCTCTAGAGCAGAGAAGGCAGGAGGGGTGAACTAATAAAGATCTCTAAAATGATGGAAGAATTTGATACAGCAGAGATAGAGAAGTAATTTCCACTGGTTGCGGTGAGTCTAAAATTACAGGCCATAATTTTGAAATGGTCACTAATAAGACAGTCAAAAATTCAGGAATAAATGCATCTCTACTCACAGTGGTTGTACACCATATGGTATAGACAATATAAATAGCAAAGATGCATTTAAAGAGAAGCTGGATAAAAAAGTGAAGGAGGACAGAATAGAATGTTTTGTTGGAATGTTATGTGAGGTGAAGTAGAGCAGGAAGAGGCACTTGTATGGAGTGTAAAGACCAGCAGAAACCTCTTGGCCTGAATGACCTGTTTGTGTTTTTTAAGTCTGTGTAACCCAATGTAATGTAATTAGGTGATTTCAGTTTAAATTGCATTGATTTAATATGGACTTCAATACAGTTGCAACATTGTGACCCATACCTATGTCCTATTGCCCTCACTCAATGTGAACTCTTAATTCATGGTAACTGTTATATGGCTGCAATGCTGCTTCAGGCAAACCAGGTAAAAAGCAACCAGGTCTGCTGCCCAAACTATAAATCGTGACATCAGGCATACACAGTTTTTCCTGTATTTGGAGGGTATTCAGGTGTAGAGCAGAGTGGAGTACTTTTTTTCTGCATTATTTGATGTGGATGTTTCTTTTACTCCAAATCCTTTTAAACCAAAAGTCAAATCTAACCCAAGTTCTGTCAGGCAAGTCGGAGTTTATCTCCTTTTGGAATTACACAACGTCTTTCCCTGATGAGCTTTCCCATTAGAATATGACATGTCCTTGATTCTCTGACGAGCTAATCCTGTATTGCACTCAAAAAACCAGAGCTTCAATCTGCATCTTAGTGTTGGCATTTTTTTCGGGCAAACCTTTATCGCAAAGAGTGTGTTGCAGTTGGGGGTGTATGTGTACGAAAGCATCCAGAGTAAAATGATGCCAAGCATTATGCAATTGTAATATGGATGGGTCTGCAGTTCATTTCTTACAGAATTTACACATTACACTGTGTTAACAAAGTAGAATCAATTCTGTTCTGTTATTTACATGCTACTGTGTCTTTGAACGAAGGCATGCCTTGGACGGTTTCAAATTACAGTCTAGGTAAGCGAGATGAATTACATGGAGGTTGGAGGTGTAACGATAAGGATAGGGTTGTTAGGCCAATAAGGAATTCAAATATGTTTTACACATTGGGATTTGGTTTGGTTCGGCCGCATGAGGTGCTAATACAAAAGGGTAGATAACTGTGAATGCTGGAAATCTGAGTTATAAACAGGAAATGCTGGAAATATTCACCAGATCAGGCAGTAAGGTGCTAGCCTGACCTTGCAGTGGACAAATTTATGCAGTTTTTTTTCCCTCAGTTCCGCTTGTCCGACACTCGCAACATTTGTAAATTTTGTTTCGATCCAAATTAGTCGTAAAGCTACGGGTTGTTTGGAAGGGAATTTGCTAAACTGGGTTTAATTATGGTCATCTTGAAGTTGACAGTTCCCACTGCCAGTGTGACAAATGTAATATTAATAGATTAGATCTTCCCTCTCACCTGGTTGGTAGAAAATGTAAAATCACCATTTGATTATTTGGCTGAAGCTAGTGGAAAATTGTACTAATATTGAAGAGAAAGGAAACGGAGCTTTGTGCTCCTAAGCGTTTGGAATAGGTATATGCAATTATTACCTGATGTAGCTTGGATAATCAATGTGGACAGTGAAGATGTGTGTGTCACCCTTATTAATGGAGGAGAAAGCTTCAAGCTTCTTGTAAACAATCTTTGACAGAACAAGAGTGCTTGAGCTGGATTTTTTTTTACAGTGTTGTGTAGGTGCTGAATAGTGAGCAGCAGATACAGTCAAAAATAAAGTCAGGCTCAGTGTTTTGCATGCCCAGAGACCTCACTGTGGTCTGCGGTAGGATTTATGCTGCAAGGTAAAAACATGTTGCAATTTCATGTAGTTTGTTCAAAGAATCTTGTGAATGAGCAAATGTTCAGTGGCCCCATGTGTTTTACTAATTCTGCTTTACACTGTTCACAAGAGCAAAAACCTGCAAATGGTTACTTTTGCCAGCAGCTTATGATTATCGTGTCCATATGTTGACGATCCTTCCCAACTTGTGCCAGATTCCACTTCTCCTGGCACCCCTCACTCACCTACTTTAGCTTCCAGTCTGGCAATGCATCAATTTAAAATTGGTGTTCTCGATTTCAGATCCCTCCAAGGCCTCACATAACTCTTCGGTAGGTTTTGTGACATTTCTCAGTGCCACCATCCTATGAAAACATTGTGGCTCTTGCTAAGTCTGACCCCTTGTCAGCCCACCGGCCCTAACTTCGTTATACCCATCATTGGTGTCTTTGCGTTGAGCCACCTAGACCTTAAGTTCCCCATTAGTTGCTTTCCCTCTTTATATCTCACTCCTCTGCCCAAGATGCAGGTTAAATACTACCTCCTTGACCCAGTGTTGGGTTCTGTGCCCTAATGTTCCCTTGTTTGGCTTAATGTCTATGTCTATCAAATGCCTTGGAATGTTTTATCAAGTTAAAAGCGCTGTATAACTGTATTGTAGCATTGTCATTTGCTGCTTGTTGTTTTCAGCGCTGTTGCCTGTTAGAGCCCCCTCTACTTCAACCACAGTTGTCTGGTGCCTGTTTAAACTTTAAATAGTCAATTTAAAGTTCTTGTTGCATTGTATACTGCAGCTGTTTGTTCTTTGATGGTAATCATAAAATTGACATCAGAGGGCCGACTTACCACACCACAACTTCTATGGTAAGCAGACTGTTAATCGTCAACCATTGGAGGTAACGACTGTTGAGAGAGACAGGTCTTTCTCACCACTAAGCTCACTTTTATCAGATAGTGAGTGAAACATACAGTTTAATTTTTTCTCACTGCCTGTGTGAACACATGTTCAAACCAGTCCTATTTCCACATTGGTGAGGTGAGAGATGACACTTGTGGAAGGTACAATACAGCCTGACTTTTGTATATGCAACGGTGTTTTCTCTGTTGTGAAATGTGGCAAATAAATTTTGTCCTGCTTGTTGTTTCGATAGACTGGTTGTCATTTTTTAACTTGTCAGGAGAGACTGCAGCCATTGTTTTATCTGAGAAATGATCTTTTCCCTTGGTCTAGACAGATGGTCTGAAATACCAAAACAGCATAAAAGATTAACACATACCACCTTGTGTTTTTTTGATGGAAATATGTTATGCTATATCATCTGATTTGCCTCGCAAAATTCAGAGTGATAGAATTGGGCATAGCCACCTCTGGACGAAGTAAGGGGAAGATCGTCCAGGGTCGCCAGTCAAGTTCACTGTCTACTGATTCACCCCCACCAACCTTCAGTGAAAAACACACCTGACAAGTTCAGTTGCTGAGGATATCTCGTGCAGTCGAATTGCTCAGCCAAGGCTAGTGATTGTTTCCAATTGAATGGTAGGCAAGCAAAAATAAGCATATTTCCAAAGGCTCAATTTACAATTTCTCCCAGATTGTGGAGACGCTGTATTCTGATTCACTTTATGGGAACGAGGCAATGAACATTGAATCAGTCAGAAGCACATCTGTACTCTGCTCTGCTTTCCTCAGTTCCCCTTCCCTTTGCCCTTTGTCGATGTGTTTCTGAAAGCGGTGAAGAAGTGTATTTTGTTCCTTGTTGCACAAATACTTTTTACTCCTGTGAACAGATAAGCAATATAAAACAAGCAGTTTTACTGAACTGAGGAAAATAATTGCCTTGTAAACAAAAAAATAATCTTCAAAACGATTTGAGTTGGGTAACTGCATCTTCCTTGGTGTAACCAGCGAAAGGGTTAAAGAATATCACATCTGCCCTGAAGTGAAATATTTATATTCTGAGATCAAAAGGAAAAGATGCAGCACGTTCCTGAATAAGTTTGGAAGATCCAAGAGCGTCAAATAAGTCTGAAACATAATTGTAAAATCAAATAGGATGTAATATTCATTATGGTGGTTTATTTACTTTGTTTAGATATTGGTAATCACAGTTTCTCCCAGAGCAAGTCGCATTTCTGATAGAGTTTTAGCAGATGATTCCGGGTTAAGTTACAGCAAGTCAATTTGGTGAAGAATACAGGGTTTTATTTTTAAACATATATTTATAAGAGTTTCAAAGTTGCACTTTGAATTAGAAGTATCTAAACACTCGTACGTTTCATATTGAATTACTGTAGAATTATTAATCCATTTATTTTCCAGCAGGCTAACACTTCTGCTAAAATAGGGAACAAAGTCATTTTCACGTTAAATGTTCGTAACCAAATATTGTGCAACATAATTTCTAGGTTTATGTTTTTAATCTCCTTACAATCGAATGCAATGGCATCATAAAGTGTTTAGTATGGTCGTGTACTATAATTGTAAATTACAATGGTTACCCTTAGTTATAACACAGTACTGTGTGTAGACAAGATTATTTTCTGCATTTTTTAAAATACAATCTTTATTCAATTAACTATCAACTGTGAAAGCTATGGTGATTTCTTGATGTTTATTTTTTTTCTTGCTGTTTGGCAATACAATATTCAGTAAAAGGAACCAAATGATCTATCATGCTAACCCATAAACGTGGGAGCTCTCTTTGCTTTTATGCAGCTTTCTCATTACATGAAACATATTATTGCAATATGTAATAAAATACTACAGTGCACTGAAAAAGTTAGTCAGCTAGCCAACTTGTTTTGTTGACTTGCCTTGCACGAAGGTGCTGCCTGTATTAGTCCTGACCTGACACCCCTGTCAGCCCGACCTTGCTCCCCCACTGTTAGAATTAACGACAGACGGAGCTTCAAAGGTTTGCTGTAATGACAGACCAAAACTTCAAAGAAGAAAATATAGCAGGGCAACCACTAATGAAGAGAGATCCCGCAGAACTATAATGCAAAGCATTAACTCTCTTATTTTCCAGTATGACTTTCTTGGTCCCCACTGAATATTCTTCAGATCATTACAGCCATTGAGTAAATATTAAATAAAAGCTTCTCCTGTGTCTTACTTCGTTTAATTTTATTGATGAGTAACAAATTTATTCAAATTGTGGGGAAAGTGAATCGACGCTGTGCATGTTGTGTGCATGAGTGTGCAATCTGTGCAAGGAGTGGAAATGGTTTGTACACTAAAATAAAAAAAAACTGTGGATCTAAAACAAAAACAGAAATTGCTAGAGAAACTCAGCATTTCTGGCAGCAACTGTGGGAAGAAAGCAGAGTTAATGTTTTAAGACCGGTGACTCTATTAGCCATCACTTTTTCCCAGCTGGGAGCAGTTCCAATGAAGAGTCAATGGGCTCAAAACGTTAACTCTGCTTTCCTTCCCACAGATGCTGCCAGACCTGCTGAGTTTCTCCAACAATTTCTACTTTTTGGTGGAAACAGTTTGTGTCTCTCTTTATGTTTCACCTGATAGATGTTATTGAGCATCTGAGAAGGCTAGGTTTATTATTAAGAAATTGTGTTGAACAAGAAACTGATGTAGCGCACCACACAGTCTGAAGTGTGTTGCAAAGCAGAATTGCAGCTAGAAGTTGAGATGTAGTTGTAAGATGCTTAAAAGGTGTTGCAAGTTTCCTGGTCTGTTGCAGTATCATAAGATGTTCGCATCCTGCAACACCATCTGTTTTATTCTTTATCATCTGTGGATTGAAGTTTGTCTATCAGCTTTTATTGTTCTTAGCATGTCTTTTTTTCTTGGCGCCATGAGGTTTTGGATAAGCAGGGGCAGTTTTCTCTCTTGATCAAGTGCATGGATATACTGTTGGGCTGTTAAATGAACTAAAGGGACAGTGAGCACCAATTCGCTGAGCTGTAAAATAACTAGTGTTATTTAAGTAATATACAGAGTTATAGAGTTGGACAGCACGGAAAAAGACCTTTCAGTCCAACTCGTCCACGCCAACCAGATTCCTAAATTAATTCAGTCCCATTTGTCAGTACTTGGCCCATTATCCCTCTGAACCCTTCCTATTCATATACCAATCCAGGTGCCTTTTAAAATGTTGCAATTGTACCAGCCTCCGCCACTTCCTCTGGCAGCTCATTCCATACACGCACCACCCTCTACGTGAAAACGTTGATCCTTGTGTCCCTTTTATATCTTTCCCCTCTCACCTTATACCTATGCCCTCCACGTTTGGATTCCCCTACCCTGGGAAAATGATTATGGCTATTCACCCTATCTATGCCCGTCCTCATTTTATAAACCTCTATAACGTCACCCCTCAGCCTCTGATGCTCCAGGAAAAAAACCCCAGCCTATTCAGTCTCTCCCTTTAACTCAAACCCTCCAACCCTGGCAACATCTTTGTAAATCTTTTCTGCACCCTTTCAAGTTGAACTTCACCTTTCCTGTAGCAGGTAGATCAGAACTGAATGCAGTCTTCCAAAAGTGGCCTCATCAATGTGCTGTACAGCCACAACATGACCTCCCAACTTCTACTCAATGCACTAACCTTTGGAGAGGTGATGGCCTAGTGCCATTAATGCTGGGCTGTTAATTCAGAGACTCAGATAATGTTCTGGGGACCTGATTTCAAATCCTGCCATGGCAGATGATGGGAATTTTAATTCAATAAAATATCTGGAATTAAGAATCTAATGAAAACTATTGTCAATTTTTGGAAAAATCCATCTGGTTCACTAATGTCCTTTAGTTTCTTCACCACCCTGTCTGCCTGTGACTCCACTTTAAAGGAACTATGAACCTGCACTCCAAGGTCTCTTTGTTTGGCAACATTCCCAAGACCCTACCATTAAGTGTATAAGTCCTGCCGTGATTTGCCTTAGCAAAATGCAGCACCTCACATTTATCTAAATTAAACTCCATCTGCCACTCCTTGGCCCATTGGCCCATCTGATCAAGGTTCTATTATACTTTGAGATAACCTCCTTCACTGTCCACTACACCACCAATTTTGGTGTCATCTGCAAACTTACTAACATACATCCTATATTCACATCCTAGGCACAAAGCCATATTGACTATTCCTGATCAGTCTTTGCCTTTCCAAATCCATATAAATCCTATCTCTCAGAATCCCCTCCAGCAACTTGCCCACCACCGATGTCAGGCTCACCGGTCTATAGTTCCCTGGCTTTTCCTTACCACCTTTCTTAAATAATAGCACCACTTTAGCCAACCTCCAGCCTTCCAGCACTTCACCTGTGGCTATTGATGATGCAAATATTTGAGCAAGGGGCCCAGCAACCACTTCCC